AGTACGTAGTACGTACGACGACGACGAGAGAGAGAGAGAGAGAGAGAGAGAGATGGGTTTACCAGAAGCGGGAGGTGCAAACCAAGACGGCCCAATTGTTGGTGTGCATGTTGGTGGAAGACGAAGAAAAAGAAAAAGACGACTCGAAGGAAGCATTTGCAGAGAAGAAAAGTAGATAGAGAAACAGGTGAGAGAATTTAGTGATCTTTTTCGCCTCATATTTCCTCCCCTCCATTTCTGTTCTTCCACTTCTCGCCCCAGGTGACCTCTTTTACCTTTTGAACTCGAGAGGAATCTGTCACCCCTTTTTCTGCGTACTTACGATCTCTCACATCTCACAGTGGAAAGGGATGTGTACACTGCTGATAAAGCTCTTACTCCGTCCAATTCATAAATGGATTGTGATGGAGACAGGACGGACGTAAAGTTGGGCCCCCTTCTTCTATCTAATAGCCATTTACCCTATAATTGGACGATGATGACACACAGGTTATAGCAGTTGCTTTTCTACTACCATAGACAAAATCGACAAATTTTTTAGTTCCTAACTGTAACAAAGTCTATGACCTTTCTTATTTTGGGATGTTTAATGGAACCAATTTCTTGGTAAATAGCTTGCATGCTAAATCAAGGTTTGAAAATTGGGCCGGATGGAATCGCCAGATCCGGATGAATCGTGGAGCCCGTGTACTGTGGCTTTGTCACGGCTTTTGAAGTCATGGGTTCCTCTTTGGATGACTTTTTATGAGCTTTTTTCAGATATTTTATTTGCATTGGCTATAAAACAATTATCTAGCAATTTAAAAAAATTATATGAAATTTCTGGTGATGATTTTTAGTGCAGTTTTCTTGGGTTTATGAAAAATCCACAAATCCATTGATTTTGAGCTCGATTTAGAACCATTTTGTATCAAGAAGCAAATCTAATTCTTCATACGATCATTGGGTTGATTTGTTTGATTACACAAAGATTTGAGGTCGATTTTGCCCAAAACTTTGATCCTGAAATGCGTAACGGTGTTCCAACTGATAATCAAGTCGATTTCGATCAAATTAAATCTATCCGGATATTGATTTTTCGTTTCATAGTTTTTATATGAACTTTTATAAGGCTTTTTTTGTGTTGAAACATCCGCCAATTCGATGATTTTGAACTTGATTTAGAACTATTTTGTGTCAAACTTTGTATGTTTCGAAGAAAATCTAGTTCTTCACATAATCATTTGGTTGATTTGTTTGATCACACAAAGATTCGTGATCGATTTGGCCAAAGTACATTTGATACATTATAGGATAATCTGAGTAATTATTTTGCGGAATAAAATTAGGAATTTTGACGAATATAGGCTCTTGATACGTACAATATGAGAATAAATATTTTTTTCAATTTTTTGTAATTATATTTAATTTTATCTCATGAATTTACAATTTTCGTGGAAAAAACTCGTATTCTTCAATTTTACCTTCAACTTTTTTAATGCAATAAAATCTGAACTTTTTGCATGTATGGTTTTTTTTTCTCTAATAACTTAATCTGATAATATGGTTGCATTTTTTATTATCTTTTTGTTAATTGGATTTTTTATAAAATATTATTATGATGGTTTTTTTAATTTTTATAAAATATATTTGTTCTTTCACTCAGATGCATTAATATCCAATCGTGTACTACATTTTAAGTGATATGAATAAATGGTTAAGAGATATCTAGACACCGAACGATTCAATATTCACATCTTTTTACAAAATAATAAAAATACTCAATAGCGGTTTTCTCCACCCCGCAGGTTGTTATTATTTTGTCAAACATCACATTACAAAAGGTAATCTTCTGTACAATACACCCCTCCACCTTCTCCGCTCTTTCTTTTTCCTCCTACCCTTTCCTCTTGTTTTATTGAAATCTTAACATTCTTCTAGACAACTGGCACCATGCTCAGGCAAATCCAACGTAGGTCTCAGAATAATGATTGTGGGAACCGTTGCAACAGTAGCACTATTGATGTTAGTTGCAACAATAAGCAATTCTCTTCGACGATGTACGATCCATGTCCGACGGCGAAGATGGAGAAAAGAAGGCCTGAATGTAGAAAGGTTCTTAGAGAAGTATAAAAATCCTCTGATGCCCACAAGATACTCATACAGGGACATCAAGAGAATGACTCACTAAATTAGGACAGGGTGGCTTCGGTAGCGTATACAACAAAGACAAGACGCCTAGTTGCTGTAAAGATGTTAGAAGAGTCTGGTGCAGAATTCATCAATGAAGTCACCACTATAGGCAGGATAAATCATGTGAATGTGATTCGAATCCTTGGCTTCTACGCTGAGGGGCTTCAAAGACATGCCTAATGGTTTCCTCGATACATTCGTCTTCTCAGATAAGCCAGGAAGTCATCCCCTTAGTTGGGAGACACTGTACAAAATAGCAGTAAGTACTGGCCGTCGACTCGAGTACTTGCATCTAGGATGTGACACCCGTATACTACAGTTTGACATTAAACCTCACAACATCTTGCTTGACCATGATTTCTCCCTGACTTTGGCCTTGCAAGGTTGTATCCTAATAGAGAACTGGATGTAGAGGGACCATTGGATACATTGTCCCTGAAGTATTTTCAAGGAACTTTGAATTGTACCTGAAGTATTTTCAAGGAACTTTGCAGTTGTTTCATACAAATCTGATGTATATAGTGATGCTAATAGATATGGCTGGTGGGAGGAAACACAATGAATCTTAAGCTGATAACTCTCGCCATGCATACTTCCCTGAATGGATCTATGATCGCCTCGAAGGACATCGAAGTTTTGAACAAGTCGATAATACAGGAGAAGAGGAAATAGTGAGAAAGATGATGGTGGTGCATACAGACCTTCCAAATGATCATCCAAATGATAAGTAGAGTGGTGGAGGGTAACTTGGTGATTTTGACTATCCCACCTAAGCCTTTTCTAACTTCTCCTTATCAGCCGTTGTCCCTTGGGGCTATTTTCGAAGAGCCGGGTATCACGGTCGTGTCTATATCAATATGAGGGTCCATGAACTTATCAAACTTTGGAGTGATAGCTTTAAAATTTCTCAACATCCCTGATTTTTTTTCTCTTGAAATAGGAGATTAAACATTCATTTGCCTACATAAACTTCACTTGAAAGATGAGATTTCGCCGTTCTTTGAAAAAGCAAAACAGATAACAGATGTGATAGCCTTTTTATATTCTCATAGGCCTGAGGAAGAGAGGTCAACTAAACCACGTCTATATGCCTAAAGCTTTAAAATGCTGAACAAATGAAGCCAAATGAGCAAGACGTATACATTTGCATATACTTGATCCATCACCCTGTTGCTTATATTTAATAATAATTTGGGATATAACCCTTTTCAATGGGAAAGTAACACCATTTGTTGTCTAGTGTTCTAAACTAAGACAAAAAAGAAGAAGAAAAAAGACAGCTCTGAATATAGATCTCTGAATTATATCGAAGCATTTAAGCCATCTTGGATACCCAATAGGCTAGCTAGTACAATATCATAATCAAGCATTACTTCCATTAATTGCTATGGTTCCTCAAGTAAGACATTAAGCACAGTAAAGCTATAAATAGCCCTCGGCAACTGGTTGAAGTGGTACAAGCCTTGTCCAAATAAAAACGGGCAGATCCTCACAACATAGCTTGCATATCCTCAATGTAGACTTAGGAGGCAATCAAAACTGGACCACATTGGCATAGTCCTTTCACCATCAGGTGATTTTTCAAGAAGTTGTCATAAAAGAAAGGCAAGCTGGAGCAATACAGGGATATATCAAGAGTTAAAGCAATCCATTTTCACATCAGTAACATCAAGTTGTAGTATCTCAGCTCTGCATCCCAAGATGGAACCCAAGCTGCAAAATAAATCTCATAAGAAATCTGATAAGGATCCTTGAGAAAGATAACAATGGCATGTCAAGTCGAAGTTACAAGTTCAAAACGCAGCGTATTTCTTGTAAAATGGTTGATTTTATGAAAAATCTGACAAAGCCAGACATGTTTATGATACACATGGCAGTTTCAAACTACATTACTAACCCATCAAGCATCCAAGCCAGAGCTCTACACTAAAGTCTAGGGATTCAGAACACTAGGTGTTCAACGCAAGATGCTTTCTAACAGAAAAGCAAGGAACAGGGGGGGTAGCAAAAAAGAAAAGAAAAGAAAAGGGGGCGTGAGAAAAGAATAAAAGAACTAAACCACATGTTAATGGTTCTACATTTTAGTCCAGATTTACTTACACAAGAAGCAGGGAGAGCATCTCAATAAAGAATTTCAAGGCACTAAAACAAACAGGCGTTGTGGACCTGCCAAGGACTCTCTTCACATTTGAAAATTTAAGATTCCAATGCTTTTTGAAGATGTTGAATGTGTTAATTTTTCAAGAATTTAGGTCATCAGTGTATTCACATTTAGTTTTCCCTAGGAACGTGAAGATACAACACAAACTGGAATAATGATTACAGAAATATGACAATATTTTTTTTTTTTTGAATGGTGTATATCTGCTATATTCTCACTGTTAAGGCTTCTAAAATCTAGATTTATATAATTGTTATCAGATGCTAGACCTACACAATGTTAATTTACATGGAAACAAATCATTCGAACCAGTATATTTGACTAGAAGTTTGATGAACATTTTTTGCATCAACATCAAGTATCTGAAATATATTAGCAATAATATGCATAAATGTTAACGGGGCCAGAGCCAACTTAATAAACACCACACTCAGACCTACTTGGGATGAGTTCGCCCAAGATCTCCATGTACAAATTCCTTGATGTATGTTCCAGCCTGCATCATAGGAAGCAACAACTAACATCACAATATAATGCCAACAAAAATGATTAGAACAATGTTTATGTTCAAACACTATTCTCATTTAGCTTGAGTTCCACATCACTTATGATATTAGCTTAAATGAAAGCTTCCTCTACTATAGGTAAACACAATTATCGAGGCAATTAATAATAACATAGTGATGCTCTCCAGAGTTATTTGCTAACTATCAGAGTCCTTTCAGTGATTAAAAAACGTGTCAGAAACTATGCATGAAAGAGATGTTTGCCTCATTCCTAAGGGGCTAATGCATGGTGAATTGGTTAAAGAAAATCCAGGAATGCAAGTGATTGCATGGGTCTTATGGATGTGATGCAACCATATAACCATTAAATTGATGCAGCAATACACTTATCAAAATTCTATTTGTGAATTCAATTAATTTATTAACAAGGAAAAGGCAAACCTTGAGTATGTTGTCAAAATTATCAATTTATCCATTTAATTAAAAAAGCACGAAGAAAACAGATTTTTTATTGTTAAACTACTAAGAAAACATAAATAAAGTAAAGCCATTAGACACTGAAATACATGCATCAGAAAAGGAACAAGATGTACCTGTGTACAGAGATGCAAAATGAAAAACTGCTTACTTCCATGGATTCTCTCAGCCCTCATCCTATTGAATGGTATTGACAAGAGGTCAACAATTTATGTGGTGGACATAAGCAATCCACATGACTTAAGTGCTAAACGAAAATTCAGAAGAAACCTACCAATGTATCATTCGCTTCCTTTCTAATGGGCTTCGGCGATGAAGCACCCTAATTGGGGTTCTTTGAATGATATCCTGCATAATAAGTCAACAAAAATCCTACTCTTATCATCCTAAATAATAATTAAAAAAAAAAAACACAAATCCTACTCTTATCATCCTAATAATAATAATTAAAAAAAAAGTAAGTCTGATGCATAATCAATAACTGAAACTGTACCCAAGAAGCATAACATACATACAACAATGGGATACAGATCCAAACTTAGATATCAATTACAAGAAGCCAAGTATGATCTTTCCAATAACTTGTCACTCAAAAAATCATAATTAATTAAAGGGAGGCACACCAAAACATGCCCAGACCACACAAATCTGAACAAGACATCATGAGGATACTGCAATAAACTACATATATTAAAAACATGAACAGTATACAGGGAACTTAATGGCTACCTTTCGAAATTAATAGTAAATCCAACATAGAAAATGAAAAACTAAAGAACATAATATTAAGATGATTACTACAAAAATATGATATCCCACCATCTCTTTTATTGAGGACATGCACTTCAAATCCTCATCCTCAAGTGAGCGTGAAATCCATACTAGGGCAGCATATTGCTTCTGCAGACAAATAAGCATCTCAAACCCAGCATATTGCATCAACATAAATATGTTGTGTAGAACCTCTGAACAAACATGGGTTACATAAAAAATCACATTTTTTGAAACAATGCAATTTCTCATAAAAATTAAGATACAAAGTTAGAATAATAGATGCCAATAATCTCTTCTTTTTTTTTGATAGGAAAGCTGTCACATTGCTTCGTAAATCACCTGTTTCTCTGCCTCTCCTTGTTGCAAAATAGTCCAGGCATCAACACCAACCTCCTTGAGATTTTTTACTCTAACCTAGTAAATCAAACGACTTCAACAACAAAATAATGATAGCATTTCATTCCTAATATCATAACTTTCCAACTACCAGACTTGATTTACACACATAAGATGCCAGTTGTTAGCAATTGATCTGACAAACTTACAATTCTGGGTTCCAAGTTATTTATTTTCTCTTGTAGTTCGGCAAACTCAGTATGTGAGGACAGAGATCGTGCATTTGCAATTTCCACCAGGAAAGGACGGCCTGAACCCAACATCCGAACCTAAGGAAAAAAAAAGTATTTTTTTTTCATTTCAAAGCTTGCTCTATCTCTTCTTTTTTTAAAAAAAAAGTTATCTGAAGAATGTTCTATAGAAGAAATCATTGAAAAATAGAAATCATGAAAAATAGACCTACCAAAACTTACATCAATATCTTCCCTACCAGCAGCATGAAACTTGTAACTGTCAGCTTTTAAAATGGAAAGGGTTAGGTTCCCGATGATCTCCTACGGACGAAGTTGCATTTTAGCTTAAATGTAATGGAAAAATAAAACTAAAATGTCAATTCATTAAAAGTTCCCAACTAAACGAGTTAAATTAAGAAGTAATGGGGTCAATAATAACTCTAAATATGATATACTTCAACAGATGTCTCCCCCATTCTCTCCTCATCGATTATCCAACGTGTTTGGCTCACATTTCTAGAATACTGTAAAAGCAACAAGAAAGCATAAGAAATTAAACCACATTAACTAAATCATAAGCAACAGATAGAGAACAACTCTGGCTTCTAAGTCAAATGGCATATGACAAATCAGCAGGAAGATGGAATCATGCATAATAAAAAAACGAAGCTGGGTTGTACATCAAGTTTTCTTCCTTGATGATATTGAATTATTTGATATCCTGCTTGGGCAAGTTTATAGGACAATGTTTGCCTTCTAATCTTGATCTCTATGCATGTACTTCAATATGTCGAGGCTATCAGTTTATTTTTAACAGTGTGGAACTTGAAAACTTAAGGAAAAGATTACAGAGTCCAAATTATCAAAAAAACAAAAAAGAGAACAGTAATAAAAACAACTTGGAGAAACTACCCTACTGATTTTAGACTCTTTAGATAGAGTGTTGGTCAACAATAACCCTTTTAGATTTGGTAGCTCATTTGCTATTGTTGTTTTCTTATTTAATCTACATGTTTTTTCCCCTCATAACCACCGAAATTTAAATTTCCATGACAAGAAAGATTTCTTAAATGATTTGTTTCATAAACTTAAGCCATTGTTAGAACTGGCATGTCATGTAACAAAATATACCTTCAGGTATCTCCCACCAACGTACACAGGCGTTCTGTAGCAAAGAGTGGTCACTTTGCATGGTTGATTAACCTAGAAAGTAGCCAACCCCCAAACCATAAGATAAGTTCAGCATTATTTAATATTATAAGCAACCTACAAAAGCCAGAGTAAACTCACCTTAGCAGGAGGGACCTGAAATATGCGATCTTGTTCCGCAATATCTAATCCAAAAGACTCTTTATTGATTTCCAGATCTGAAGCATCAATACCCTCCAAAAGTTCTTTGTCACCTATTCTTAAGGCACATAGAGGTAAAAAATATGCAGGCCAACTACTATATTAATACAAGAGAAATTTCAGATGAAAGCTTCAACTAGTATAATCATAGTATAATGGATAATCTATGAGAGATAGGATTGGTGAGAAGGTCAATATATTACATTATTCATGATTTACATCATTCTACAGGCTAGCAAACACTGAAAACAAGATTTCGTTCCTAGATTTCAGAGGAAGGTATACTGGAAAGATATAACCTTTGTGAAGAATATGACATCACACCACGTAACACAACAATCAACACGCCACGTTTCACATAATCAATATTGCACTAGCCTAAGATTTTCAAAAACAAATTCGATAACCAACTTTCAAGGTAAACATGCATAACTAGGCAAAAATAGTTGATTGTTAGAAGGCAACACAAGCATAATTCGAAGTCTTCGTATGAAGAAATCAACCACCTAGGGAAAGCAGCGTACAAAAGAGCATAGTATTTTATTTTGATGAAGGAAAACCTGGAGAATATACATCATCAACAAACATGAGCAAGAACTTGCCTCGCTTCTGTTTCTTATGACCATCAGTTCTTGATCCTTGAACAAGACTAATCTTTGAAGATGCATCGCTATGTGTGTATGTGAAACGGATATGGAAGGACCTCACAGCCACTTTAACAGCCTGTACATTTTAAAGTCCATGGAGGCTCAGTGTAACTTTCTTGGAATCAGTAGACAATATCCTGTTTTGTCAGACAAGCCCTTAGAGAAAGAAAGGCGCGGTAGATTGAAAACAACTATTTATTCACCCCCCACCTAAAGAGAATAAGAAAACGAAATTGACTTACCAACATTTCTTCAAGCGATTTTGTTATCGAAAATCTCAAGGCATCCTTGACAGATATACTTCCAGAAAAGAATTTATCTTGGAACCGACTTTCTGAACCATACCTCTTCTTCATGTATAGCCTATATCAAATATTAAAGGACAAATTATATGAGCACCCACTCACTTCAATGGTAGTAGTTAATATCACAAAATTTGCAACTGGATCTCTGACTATGGAAGGTAGAGCAGGTTGCTCTACCGATTTCATAAAAAGGGGTAAAGAAATGTCGTGGTCCATGCATCAGATGAACAATCACAATCAATAAAGACAAGCAATATCAAATTAGAGCTATTTTCTTTTCTTATTGCAAGTTTTTCACATATATCTGAGTAATGGTTACTCCAGCAACTGAGATCACGATATTCCCCTCATCAGTTATTTCATATCACAGATTGCACCGGCACATGCAGAAATTATATGCATGTATGCGTGGTATGCATAAAATAAATTTTCGTTATTAAGATGTATCATTGCAACATTTTTGAAACTTTGTTGGCATCCCAAGATACAAAGTCAGATGCACATTCTTCCTTTAATAAGAAACTTTAGAGGAAGAAGGCATTTCCCCATGGCCAAATAAAATAGGGTCAAGATAAACATCTTAGATAAAAGTAGGAGTCATACTATTGGAAAAAGCAAAACTAAGAACGAATAAGCCGAGCAATAAGGGAGACTCCATGCCAAAGGAACTGGCACAATTAAGGTCAATAGTTGCAGGAAGAGACCATAGCTCTTATTCAGACACCATCAAGAAAAAAATATACTTGAGACTCTCTGACCAGAACAATAGGATAAAATTGATCAGACATACCAATTAACAAGGGACACGAAATTTACCAGACTGAACGCTCATTACCCAAAATGATGGGGGGTACTGAAACTTCAAGAGAAAAGCTATCAATCTCAAAGCCCTCTCCTTTCACTAATTGTGCTGTTGAAGCTACAAGATCAAAAGTTTGCTGGGCTTGCTCATCATATGACAGTTGCAAAATTCCCCAACAAACAACACAGAACTCTGGTCCCACTTTTAAGTCTTGTGGGGAAGATGAGCCTTCGTGAACTTTACAATCAGTTGCTTCTTCATGGCCATTACTCAAGTCAAGAACAGACCATAGCAATGAAGATGAAAGGGATAAGCATGAATACACATCTCCATGTACCCCAAATAATCGAAAGATGCATCTAGGACACACCTGAAGCAACATAAATCATATCAATATATCAGTTCCCATTCACCCCCTTTCTTTTCCATAAATTTGATTTTGAGAAAGTTGAGTATAAAGCAATGGACTGTGCCATTCACTTGAACAACCACTATGTCCTGCCAAATGGTCAAAATTTCGATACCAAATACAACCATCAATTATTCATTGTGTTTAAAATAAAATAAAAATGAAAAATAAAAAGAACCAATTTCATTTATAATAATGGTCTCTAAAGGAAAATTGACAAACATGGATAGCTCATCTCCAACCATCTGTCAAAGCATGTATAGCAATTTCAATCTGAAAATCATCTAGAAATCTGACTACCCTACGCTTTTTTCTTTGCTCGATGACAAAAACTTTATTTACTGTAACAATAAAGAGTACAAAGTTTAAGCAGGCATATTACCATAACTAAGCGAAAGAGTAATTCAGACAACATGAATGATGACGAAATTATTATTAAAAGAAAAATTATGAATGAAAAATTTGAACATGTCAATGTTTCAAAGTAAAAAGCAACACACTAACTCAAAATGATACTGACGAAGAATGGTTATTCAAATTTCACAAAATGAGTAAGATACATCAAAATTCTATTCCTAGCTTTCAATATTCCAATCCTAAACATTTAATATCAGCTCTATTAGGATATCTCGTTTTGCAAATCCAGTACACATGCCAAGCTTTCATATCATTGAAGAGAATAATAGAAGCTAACCAGACAAATCTTAATAAGAAGAGAAAAGTTCTAGGCATTTTGAATACGGCAAAACGATTGAAGCTTGAGATACACCAGCAAGGGGAACAAATAAACATCAGGTTTTCATTTCTTTTAGGGCACATGCATTCACTTGGAGATAGTGAGAGAGTAATAAGTAGAAACAGTTGCAGATAAAAGGAGGAGAGAGAAAGAGAGTCCTTGACAAGCAAGATTAAAGACAGACATGAACAATAACATACCCCAATGGAAAGCAAATCCCTAAGGGCATGGCAGGGCAGGCCGCTCTGCCTAATGCTTTCCTCCACGAGTTGTTTCTCCAGCATGCATTCCTCACCCATTTCTCTTTCTCTCTCCAGAGTATCTCTCCTCTCTCTCTCTCCCCCTCTCCCTCTCGTAAGGAGCAGAGGCCCCTCAGTTGAGTATCTCTCTTGAAGAGCAGAAGCGCCTCCCTTGAGACCTCTGGAAGAGTAAGACAGGGCCGGAGAGCCCTCTCTCCATCTCTAGCGATTATTCCCAACCGCACAGTCCAGGTGGGTCTGTACTCTGTAGTAGGTTTGCAACGGCTCTGACCCGGACCCTACCCGATTTGACCCGACTCAAAATAAAAAACATATATTTAAAGGAAAAAGTTTGTATAGAGCCCCAACTCTAAAACATCAAATTAGAGTTCACCTCAAAATTTTCACTAGAAGAGGTTATTTTGATGCCCAAATATCTTCAAACTTTTCATCTCAAAATCAAGATACATGGACATAAGGAAAAAATAGATTTCAACTTTTGAAAAAAGTATATTTTGTAATGTATTTTCGGACCGTCAATTTTTAATTTTTCATAGATATGTCGATCTACACTATTTTTGAAACTTTAAACTTTATAAATAAAGATGAAAATATATTTTAAGGCTATCACAATGATTTTCAATATTGAAACCATATTTCTCGACACTATTTGAAGGTAGGCTCTAATTTAATTGCATAGAGTCTAGGCTCTATACAAACCGCATCCATATTTAAATATGTATTACATATACACATATATTATTTAAATATTATAACTAAAATATATAGTTACATCTATTTAAATATTAATTAAATAATATTAAAATACTTATATTTATCTAAATATTAATTAAATGTTGTTAAAATATTATATATTAAATATTATTTAAATATGGGTCAGGTCTAGTCATTGTGTCCCTGGTCAGGTCCATGCCCGTTGCCACCCCTAATCCCGAGGAGGGTTATCAAAACATGCCTTGTTTTTCAACTTCTAGTTCAATATCACATTTCGATGGGATTTTGAAATTAAATCGAGATATATGAGTAAAATATTTTAAGAAAAACATTTATATAAGATGGACACTTAAATTGTAGAATAAAAGTTCATAGAAAAAATACTAGTTCGACATTAGAAAATTGATCATCTTGACATTGATATATATGCATATGGAAACAAAAAAGATTTCAAATCTCAAAAATAGTCCATCTTGTAACACAATATTTGGACGGTCTATATTTTCAAGACTTTCATACATTTATAGATATGCCTGATTTGAAATATTTTTGGGTTTAAAATTTAATAATGAATAAAAATTGATTTTCATGACCTCCTAAAAAGTTTCACACCAAAATTACATCTTATGACAAAGTTTGTAGGTGCATCTTAATGTGATTGTTTAAGATTGCAACCTTGTGTAAACCTCATGCATTATTCAATAGTATGTACCTTAGGATGGTAGGGTTGGGCTCAAAGCTAGGTGGTTAGTGTAGCAAGGTACCTTGACATGGCATTTTTTAGTTATATTTGTACTATAGATAAGTGATCCCCAAGCAAGGTACCTTCGCTCGGGAAAGCTTTCTATGTCTCCCCTACAATATAAAAGTTTTATCCTCTCTTTATCCAACCGTCTATTTTTTAATGGAGGGCTAAGATTGCCCTAATCACAATATCACATCTCTACACTGTTTTATTTTTAAATTTTTAAAAAATGGAGGGCTAAGATTACCCCAATCACAATGTCACATCTCTACACTATTTTATTTTTAAATTTTTTTCGATAAATTGTTTTAACACCAAATTTTGGACATCATTCGTCTATTAAACTTGTACTAACGAAAAATATAAAAAAAAAATATTTTCAATAAAACAAAATGACCAAAATACCCTTGAAAATTTTAAGGGGTATTTTGGTCATTATTTTTATCAAAAAATTATTGCTAGTATTTTTTATAGGTGCGCTCCAGTGAGAAGATGGCACATATCAAATTTCATATTCAGAAAATTTATATTAAAAAAATTAAAAATAAAATACTTTGAGACGTCGGATCTAAGATCAAACGGTGAGTGGCTCTCTTGATAAAAAATGGACGGCTAGATGGTAGGGGGAGTATATAACTTCTATGTTGTAAGGGAACATAGAAAGCTTTCCCTATATATATACATACATATAGGGTTTGTTTAGAGTTAACAACCCTTCAAAATACAAAAGTTCAAGTTAGAAGAGGTTGTGATAGGTGTATTTATCTAAACAATGATTTATTTTTTATTAAAAAATTATTTAAATAGGTAACTTTACCTTTAAGCAAGGGTAAATTTGAAATTTTCATAAAAATACAATGACATTTTGGAAGTTAGTGTCATGTTTGTAAAATGCTCTGTCTTTTAGTTAAAATTTCAATTTTACCCATTATGGAGATGACAAAAGTACTATTTATCTTGTAATAATATTTATAAAATTGCCCCACAAAAGTAATTTTTACTCTCTCTATCTTGAACCTATGTAATTTGAAGGGTTGTGAAGTTTAGATTATTATATATATATATATCTTAAAATAAACTTTAAAAAATAGGTGTAATAAAGTTGCAACCTTACTTGCAGAAGTAAGGCTGCGGTGTTCCATACTGCCTATTTTGGGTCGTACGAATTTCACACGTCTTTAAAACAATAATTAAAAAAGGGTGCAGTTGGCATATGGATGCATCTATGGTTGTAGGGGTAAGGTGCACCTTCAAATTTTATCATGGTATATAATTTTGATGTAAAATGTTCTTAGGATTATCTCAATATCTATTTTTATATCTAATTAT